GTCTGCGGATTGATATAAGTTGCATTTGAAAGTATACAAATGTTTTTTCTTTCTTAAAATGCTATACCATATGTGGCACACTCTAAACAGCATCCTGCAGGTTTGGTAATTAAAGGCTAATGTCATTTTCTGAAAATGAGCATTCTTTGCCCCCTAGTGCGAAGCTGAATCTCTAAACAAATTATATCGGGCATGAAAAACAACTTATGTCAGTGGTAGATTTTAAACATATTTGCACTCCATGCATCACTCTTAACCAGTTGCTTAATCATTGGGTTAGTGTGCACGTTTTGTGTATGATGAACAACTAATGAAATGCTAAAAGTTTTAAGTAATTAATAATACATTTGGGGATGTCTGGGAGGCTTGTTATTCAGGCTTATTAATAGTAGCTTAAATGGAGTTTATTGATTCATAATAGCCATCATCAAAGCAAGTTAATCTGAAAACTTCGACAATCTGATGGAACTAAAATGAATCATTTGAAACAAATATAAAGGTTTAGAGGGCTGATTCATACTTGTTTTTGGTTAAGGCCAAGTTACATTATGTTTTTTTCAGTGTTTATCGCTGTGAAGCCTAGTGAGAGTTCTATCACGGCATCTTAACAAACTTGCCTCAGTAATTGCCTACCACATCCCAATGGCATTTTTTACATTGATTTTCATCCAATCTTACCACCTGCCATTCCCAGAACAATTCGTTACTCAGTGGATATCTATCAGAAAACCAGCATCCATTGCACCTGCACCCTCTTGGAAAGCCCAGAGTATGACCTCCAAGCACTGTGTGTGCGGTGCTGCCCTGTATAGTTGCTGGTATTTGCCTCAGACGTGACAGATGGGAATGGAGGTGGGGGGGTGGTGAGGGTAGTGAAATCAGTGCCCTTCTTTGTGGGCAGAGTCCTAGCAACACCACTGGATGATGCTGGCACAAGGCTTCCTCCAACCCATGACCCGTAGTGGAGGCCATGACTGTTGGCCACGTCAGCGCGATTTGACATTGCCACCCAGTCTCAACTGTCTGTAGGAAGAAGGTCAATGACCTACTATATTCTTGTAGGATAAATGCCGTCACCTTCCCTCCAATACCTCATTCTCACTGTATCTCTGCTACTGCACGCAGCTCCCACCAAGGCTCGTGCTCTGCCAGTCCTGTTATCTCATTCAATATCATCTCTCACTCACTGCTATCCAAACACCAGCATCACTAGCACTACATACTGTCCGCACTGCCTGCTTACTCCCTCAAGACCAACCTGTACCAACAGAAATAGCTGCGCCACCTACTTTCATCTCATAATACTTGCCTGTCTCTCTCTGCTGGAGGAAAACAACCCACAACAGTGCAGAAAGTTTCGAGGTGACAGGTGGACTGCCTGACTTTCAACTCCTCGCCTGTTATGTGATGAAGATCTTGACTCTGACTGCACCATGGAGGTACTGGTATCACAGGCTGCCCTTGACTTGGTGTGCTGGACTAACACCTTGACTTGACTTAGCTTTGCTGACAATCATGACAAGCTTCCATACTTTGTGTCTGAACTGAATGGCATGTTAAGACAGCAATATTATGAGCCTAGTATCTCTGACCAAGGGGGCAAATTGTGAAAAGGCAAGGCAATGAATGCTGTGAGCATCCAGGTAACCACAGAGTGGGCGAGCAGTATGACAGCAAGTGAATAGCCCAGAGAAGCAACTTGGTTCAGGCATTGAGCTGGGTGCTCATCCCTGAGCATAGTGCTGCAGCGTTACAGTGATAACTGCTGGTGCAACCTGAAGTGAAGCATTGTAATGCAGAAGTATCCTAGAAGTCAATCAGATATGTGCCATGAAGGTTCTTAGAGACTGGCATATGTTGGGCACACCAATATCTGTAGATGCGGGCTGCAAGTGGCAAATACCCATGGAACATGCCCTGAAATGTTATTGACAACAAGGTGCAGGGCTGGATGAACACAGCAGGCCAAGCAGCATCATAGGAGCAGAGAGGCTGACGTTTCGGGCCTAGACCCTTCATCAGAAAAGGGGGAGGGGAAGAGGGTTTTGAAATAAATAGGGAGAGAGTGGGAGGCGGATAGAAGAGGGATAGAGGAGAGGATAGGTGGAGAGGAAACAAACAGGTCGAAGAAGCGGGGATGGAGCCAGGAAAGGTGAGTGTAGGTAGGGAGTTAGGAA